CTATTTCTAGCAGTCTGCTTAGGTCCTTAGATAGAGAAGTTGGTAGCATGAGCTTTCATAGACTTGAGTCTACATCCTCAGATGCATGGCAATAGGCATTATCTAGCAAGTTTGAACACAGCAGCTGTTTCCAAATGAGTCCTATAGGACACAAATACAGTCCTGGTCCCCTAATAACATAATCACATAGGTCGAAAACACACTGCAGAAATAATCCAGTTTGACACCGCTTTAACTGCCCTGGCTCAATGTTAGGGTATTCTGGGAACTGTAGTTTTGTGAGACATTGAGCCTTCTCTGTCAGAGAGCTTTGGTGCCACAATAAACTACAATTCCCAGGATTCCCTAGCACTGAGCCAGGGCAGTTGAAGCAGTCTCAAACTGGATTATTTCAGCAGTGTGTTTTTGACCACAGACAAGATCCTTGTCCACTTTCTACATCTGCTTTCTGCCATCCAAATTATTCATGGAACATGAAATTTCCTTTACCCTACAATACCTGTTTTCTATTTTTCTAAAAAACAAAACAAAACCCAATAGTACTGTATTTTTATAATTGTGCTATTGTACTCATGGATCATGAAGCAATATCTCTCTATTTAACCCTGTGGAACTTTGTGTTTTCTCTATGCAAGAGATACATTAGATTTCCTACATGTTGCTGGGACATGAGAAACTTCAAAATTGACATTTGGTTGATCCATCCTTTTGGGACTCTAGAACAGCTGCCGGGATTTATATGGCATGTCTCTTGATATGTTCTCTTGCCTGTATACTGTTGAAAACATTTTATTCAAATATGCCATCCATACAATTAATAGTCTGATAAAATGAGGGCAGATTCCTAAATAGATAGGGACCAAGTGAATGGCTCTGTCAGATGCAACACTAAATGATTTTTTAGTGTTATGTGAACAAGATCCAGGTTGTATATGTTCCCCTGGAAGTATTTATTTCTGTTCTTAAATTACCACACTATCATCATCTGAACCTAGACCAGCTGTGGTTAGTTTTAAACATGTTTCCTGCAAGAAGCCAACTTCAGACTGCTGTTTATGAAGCCATCTTATTTCACTAAACCATAGTTAAGATTAACCAGTGTTCAGGTTTTGGATGTAACATTACCTGCTGTTAATTGAAAACGGAAGATAAAAACTTATAGTCTCCTACCTGAGTCTATTCTGGGATATCAGATAGAAAAATCATATGGATGATTTATATACAGACGATTTATGGCCAATCTACTCTGCTAAGAGTTTGTCACATGAATACACGCCCAAAAGTCTCTGATAACCATCAAATGGAAGCAAAATGCTGTTAAGAGAGCCGTCTATAACAGGGACCAGCAACCTATGGCCTGTGGGCCGGTTAAGGCCCAGGTCCCCGTACTTACCGGCCCAGGCAGAAGGTTGCCGCCACTGCCGTCGCACACCGCCACCGCGCGTTTTTGCTGCCATGCAGCCGCGTGCACTGCAGCTGCCATTTTGATTTTCAAAATGGCGGCTGTGACACGTTTGCGCATGCGCAGGAGTACGTTTGCGCATGCGCAGGAAAATCAAAATGGCAGCCGTGCCATGCGCGGAGGCAGCTGCGCAGTAGTGGTGGCAGCGGTGGCGGCAGTGCATGCGGGGGGATGGCACACACCGCCATCCCCCCCCTTGGCCCAGTGGCAGAAAGGATTTCATAGAACCAGCCCCCAGCTCAAAAAGGTTGCCTACCCCTGGTCTCTAAGAATCAAAGACACACAGGGCTGGAACACATACTTGTTCATTTTTAATTTGTATGCCACTCTGTATCAATTGATATCAGGATTGTTTACAACCACATACAATTGCATGTATTAAAATATAAGCAAAAACCTACCAACACCATCTAATTACATATTTCAGCCGTGTGCTTCCTGATTCACAGCCATTCCCCTGGAGATTTTTGGATTAAACTAGAAACTATTCAAATGAGCCATTCACAACTAAAATTTACTTTCTTTATTACTCTGAAATAAATGGTGGGGGTCCTGATCTACATGGCACCTGCCACATCCAGCTAGAGAGCTGAGAGTGTTTTCACACACACGTTCTCATCAATGCATGACAGGTTAGTATTCACTTTCTTCAGAGTAAACAGTAAAAGTAAAGTTAGGTGATGCACACCACACAGCTAAAGTAGCATATGTGAAAGAGTCACCTTTCTTCCTGGAATGGAAACTGTGAGGTGGTGAAAAGTAGGACATGAGTGCATAGTGTTAAATTGTATTGGAATGTGTGCTGTGTCTATAAGAACTGCATTTGATGCAAATATTTCAGCATGTTTTGGGAGGTTTTGTACTTCTTTTCCCCTGGCACAAAATGGGTTAAGTGATGCTACTAGTACCCTACTACTTCCTCATCAATCCACTATAAATAATTTATCTTTTCAATTCCAGATTGAAAGAGATGTTGTTAGCTTTACAAAAGCTGTTTTAACATTTCTTACATTTTGGGCCTGTCTGACTTTAAGAGAAATCTTCAATTTTGTTTTAAATTCTGCTCTATGTACAGCAGTATTTAGAACAGGAATCGAAAGACTGTAAATTAAGATTCAAATACAAGTGATAATCATTAGTTACCTTTAGAGCAGGTAATCATCTTGAATAAACACATTGTACAGTCAGATCAATCACTGTTTCATTTACTCAGTGCCACAGAGGTGTCACATTTCCAATAGGCCAAGCCATCCAACACACCAAAAAAGATTTCAAAAGCTTGAAAAAACTTCCCACTTAACAATCTCTTTCTCTTTCTTCTCTTCCTCTCTCTCTCTTTCAATCAGAATACTTGTACACTTTCTACCATCTGGTGTATTAGAAGATCAGACCCCAATTTCATCTCATCTCACTCCATAGAACACCTTTCCATGTTGGATGCAAGCTCCCCAATGTCCCAAGGAGCAGTGTGGGAAATAATCCACAATGTTTCTTTTATGGTCCTTATTTGTGTATGCTTTGCATCCATTTCGCCTCCATGTCACAACTGCCAAGTCAGACTGAGAGGGTGGGAAGGGGTGAGTTCCCTCTCTAGTTCTAAAATGTTTAACAAACCAACTGGATTTATTTTCTTTCTCCCATTCCCTAGAGTGTTCCTTTACATTTCATAAGCACTCTGTTTGAAAGGTGTTTCTGGATATTGACCTGAGGTGTGTGGAAAGCTTCTGTCTGTTTATATGAGCACCAACTCAAAATAAGGACAAGGAAGGCTGTTTGAGGGTGCTATCCACTGTTTTTCCCCAAAGAGCTCCATTTCTGCCTAATACTTGATGATGGGTAAATACTGATATTTCAGAACAAAATCTGTACGTCTACATATACCATATGCGCTATAGTTTCTCTTACTTTTTTGTAGCAAGTGTATCAGTCATCAGTTGAGAAAGATAGGATTAGTCTACTTGAGGATGAGGTCAACTATTAATTTCTATTATATTTAAAGAAAAGGTGCACAAACTGTACCAGCTAAGAAGGAAAGAGGACCTGTGGTAGAGTGGATTCAGACAGCCCTGTCAGTGGTCCTGTGGTATATGTGCATAGAATGTTTGCTGTGCCAAACACTTTGTCATGCATATAAGCATGCATGTATTTATTTATTTACTGTTTGCCCACTCTACCATTCTGTGGTCATGGGATTACATACTCCTGTAGGCAAAAGGCTATGCTGATGGAAGCAGTGCTACTAGTAGAGTACCCTGCGTCAGAAAGGCTTTAGCTGAGGAGCCAGACTTAACTGTGCCAAATAGTTACTGGGCAGAATCAGCAGTGTGTATATGTGTGTGGGGAGGTGATACTGTCAGATGATATCTAGATCAGTGAAAATCTGGATCAGTGATGAGGACATGGCCGTGTAGTTAGAAATATTCCATACTATAGGACACGTAACTATAGAAGGACTACACTTTTCTTCCAGGTTGCTCCAGTCTCATCATAGTGAGTATGGCATTATTGGAGTTGCTACGGCTCTTCATTTTATTGGATATTTAATTTGACAGTTCCTTGCCCTAAGACTTATAGTCTGAATAAGACAAGACGCACAAGGAAAAGGGAATGGCAGTAGGGAAAGGGATTGTGTCCAGAAGATACCACTTGTGCTCCACTTCCTCTAAGGCCAGGGCAATAACACTCGGGATAAAGGTAGAGCCTTTCATCTGCTTCTAGGCCTAGGCATGATGGAGCTGTGCCTGCCTCTTCTTCTCTCCCTCTGAGGTCATATCAGTACCTTATTATTATTGTTGTTGCTGCTGTTGCTGGTGTTGCTTCTGTGTGCATTCAATTTATAGCCACCCTAAGGTACCCTATAATGTGGTTTTCTTGCCAATATTTTTTTCAGAGGAGGTTTGTCATTGTCTTCCTCTGAGACTGAGAGCATGTGACTTGCCTAAGGTCACCTAGTGGGTCTCATGGTCAAGCAGGGAATTGAACTCTGGTCTCCAGAGTTGCACTCCAACACTCAAACCACTAAACCACATTGGCAACATTCTTTCAAATGTTGAAATGCACTGTTAGATCTTCTATCTGTTGGATCACAGCTGGAAAAAAAAATATCTTTCCAGTAACCAAGTTTCACTCTTTTAAAGTGAAAAAGGAACAAAAATCCACTTCTATTGTTCATTTGTTAATTTTCAAGAAACAGTTAAATAATTCAAAAGAAGAAGCACATCCCTGAATATCAAGGAACTTTCCAAACCAAATTGACTAATATGATTACTTCCTTCCAAAATGTAGCTACTATGGGACAATACCAAAATATATGAGTTAAGGAAGCATTAGTAGTATTATATCTCCAACAATTTGCTGATTTAGAAACACCTTTCTTGAACAGAGGTTGGGGTGATCAATATATTAGGTTTTTTAAAAAGAAAAAAGGAATTGAAAAAAAAGAAAGAAAAACAGCCTGCTATGAAATGGCACAGGGGAAGGGGAGAGAAGCATAATCACACTCACCTGTACCATATGACTGCCTGCTTATTGAAATTGCACTGGGAGGAAACTATCACATATGCATCAATAGTGGAAACTCAGGATGATTGGGATGCATTGATCAGTTTTACCCATCAACAAAAAGGAGTGATTCAGAAATGGATGGAAGATGAAGGAGCTACAGGACAGGCATGACATCATGTAATAAGGTACAGCCACAAATGCTACTGTCCTGCTTGAATCAGCCATATGTGATGAAGTGCACAATTGGAGATATATAGCCTTACTAGTTGTAGTAGTTAAAACAGATGGCCATTGATATCAGAACTGGATATTCCGATTCTCTATTGCATTCTTGTGGTAAACCTCTCATGTCATATTCATTTATAAATATCATAAATTTATTTATTCATTTATTTATTTATACTTTTACATAATTGTTGGTTTGGATATTTGGTTGACTTCAATTAATGTCTCTAACATTAAGAAGACCTCAGATATGCTTAAAGCTACAGGACCGAATGGAATGTAACATATGTTTTAGTTGTATATATTGCCATTTATCTGATAGAGGTAGTTTAAACTACTCTTGAAAACTGAAAAGGGCAAAAACTAATCATAACACCAAGTATTTGATTTAAGGTAACAATATCATTTTCAGCCCATACCTTTCATAAAAATGATTCCTTATTAATTTAAAAATTTTGATTCTCCCATAAAGTGAATTTGGCATGAGTATATGCATCAAATTGCAATTAACAAGATAATATTTGCCACACACTTCCAACTACTCAAATTGTTGGAAAAACACTGTCCATATATAATGAGAACCAAGTACTATCTGTTTGAATAGAAGTGCTGGAAACGAAGATTCCAAGACTGAACACAGTGGATTACTTACCTTATGTGTATATATCCAAAAATTAATATAACAGATATTCCCAATGGTATTTAAGAAAATCTGGAAGGCCCAACCTCCCCACTTTGATAGGAATTTACATCCTTTTAATTGAAATTCTAAAAGGAGATGAGCCCCCCTCAAATTCTCCTAACCAATTTATTTAGTTTTGGAAAATACTTGCAAGGCATAAGTAGAGTAATTCGATGGATAACATGAACAATTCTAGGTATAAGATTCATTCTAATTGTGTTTACCTTACCCCACAGACTCATCTTTAAGCCAACCCATCTCTCTAATATGCAATATCTTAGCTTACATATATTAAGAGTAATCTTCTGAGGTAAATCCCTATACATATACCCAAATAAGTAACAGAATATGAGCAGTATTGAAACTGCCATGTTTTAAATATGCTAGAGTCCATCTTCTCTTTCACTGTTAATTGAATATCCAGATTTTCTTTTACCAAAACTATTAGCAAACTGCATTAAATTGGGGATTGATTTTGGTGGCTTTGTAATAAACAGCAAAAGCAGCTTCATTTATATACCGTTTCATATCGCGCTGTGGGATATCTAAGCGGTTTACAACTGTAAGCTCATTGCCTCCCAACAGTTGGGTACTCATTTTAGTGACCTCGGAAGGATGCAGGCCTGAATCTAGCCTCAGTCCTGGCTGGTATTGAACTCGCAACCCTGTGGTCTATGAATGAGTGGCTGCAGTACAGGCATTTAACCACTGCGCCACCAGGGCTCATCTGCAAAAGATCATCTGCAAAAAGAGTGTTTTAAAATTTTAACTGACATGTTCAAATTCATTGGTCCTGGAAGTTTGTCTAAGGATTTTATACATGAACGGAATATTAAAAGAGCCAATGGGCATCCCTGCCTTGCATCCTGTTTCATATAGAAAAGGATGGGGGGGGGGGAACATTGGCCATAGCTCATGCTCTTGTTGTTGAATATAAAATTTTTATCCATTTCAAAAATATTTTAGGAAACCCAAAATTAGCCAACGCTGTGAAAATAAATGGCCAGAAAATTTTATCAAAAGCATTCTCACTATCTAAAGAAATAATGGCTGGCTGATCAATTCTATACAATTTAAAAGCAAACAAATCCACAACCAATCAAATATTACTGGCTTCTTATCTGTTTTGTTGTAAATTGCTCCTAGTTAAAGATGATGATATGATTTTTTTTTTGTCAAAGATGATATGACTGTTTGTCAATAGTATGGCCTGATATTATCAAGGATTCAATTTTGCATGTCTTTATATTTCTAACCAAAAATGGAGACATGAAGAAATAATCTAGTCTGAAACCATTATGGTGGATTGGCAAGATAGCCATCTACTCCTCTTCTCCTGGGTGTACAGTTCACCACACATCAATTATTTTATTTTCTCTGTGTGTGTGGTGTGGTGTGGGCCTGGTTATTGTTCAGATCTTGGCTTGCAAAATCACTTTGCACAGGAGATCCAGGTACTTTGTTCATATCCCCCAACATTATTTCCACTCACTTTTTCATTGGTTACATTATATCCCACCATTTCCACACTGAGCTCAAAGTGTCAGACATAGCTTTCTTCTTCCCAGTTTAGGTCCTCCAGTGAGCTTCATGACTGAGAAGGGACTAGAACAAGGCTTCCAACTTACCAACACTACACTAGTCACAAACACTTCCCTTTTGCTAGTACGGTGTAGCTCTCTACTGCATACAGCTTGATTCATTTATGTCCACTTCTGTTTCTATTTACAAATAGGAAAGAAAAGGATACAATGTGGGTTTCTTTAAAAATAATACTAGGAGTCCCATTTTTTTTAGAAGGGTGGTTTGCAACATTTACGTTATTTGTTCTCCCCACAACTGTATATGGAAGCTTCTCATGATAGTTAATAGGATTAGTCTACTATCTAGGACCATTGTAATACTGTGCAGAATACATTACCAAACAGGTATACAGTTTACCACAAACTAACAAAAAAAAATCTGTCCAAATCATTTTCTTATTCAGTCTGATAGTCATTTAAGTTGTCAGTTTTCAAGTCTATGATATTTTTGAAATGTTCGACCTGTGCTGAATGCAGTTGTTTAATTATCAAAACACTTTGGCCAAGTGTTACTTTTGGTTTATAAGACCTTAAACAGGTTGGAAGCAGGTTATCTAAGAGTTTGTTTTATCTCATGCAGACTATTCATTTAGCTACAGTGAAGAGGAAGGTATCTACTTCTGTGGTAGCAACTATGTGGATTTTAATAATAAAATTAAAGACCTTTTAATGAGTTGATTTATTGTTTGATTATTTTAATGTTGACTTCCTATTTTTATTTTTTATTTGTTCTATTTTTTTGGTTTTAACATTGTAAACTACTTTAAATTTTTAATAACAAAAATGGCATTTTTAAAGTTTTTGTTCCAGTTCAGTTAAAGTATGCAATTGTGCAAGGTATTTAATAATGTGTGTTTTACAGTTAACCAATATAATGGAAAAGGCTAAGAGCAAAAGAGGTCCCCTGACTATGTAATATGCTACCTTTTTACTGGATAGTTTTACAGTGTGGCAATGATACTGGAATTTATCTCACTATATCAAAGTTTCTCTCATGGCCTTTTCACCAACATGTTTGCAATGGATGGTTGAGAGTATGAAGAACGTATTCTCAAACATATTTGGCTTATCAGCTTTATACTCAACTCATTATAACTTATACTTATTTTAATCCATTCTTTTTCTTGATGTATACATATGAATATATACACATGCACAAACACTTTGACAGATTTGTTTTGTCAGCATTATATTTAGGACTGGGGTTACACTTTGAATTATGAATCTAGTGTGTTACATGAATAGTTTTATTCTACAAAGGCTGTATCCACAGTGCAGAAATAATCCAGTTTGACACCAGTTTAATTGCCATGCCTCAATGCTATGGAACTCTAGGAACTGTAGTTTTGTGAGACATTTAGCCTTCTCTACCAGAGAGCTCTAGTGCCACAACTACAAATCCCAGGATTCCATAGCACCAAGCAGTAAAAGTGGTGTCAAACTGGATTATTTTTGCAGTGTGGATGCAGCCCAAGTCAGGTAGAATATCATGGTGAAACGAAAACAACTATGAAGCGTTTTTCAGAACAAAAAATACAGTTTCATATCTTGAACAGTATATTTAATAATGCTGTATATTTAATAATGTATCACCATATGTCAAAGCTGACTTGACAGCAAGTAACAATAACAATTGCCTAAAAGCAATGGCCAATGATTATTATTTTTCACAACCAAGTATAAATTAATTATGGTACATTCTATCCAGTGTGGAGGGAACACATGTATAGAATTATTTGTCTTTTATTGATACAATGCTATTACCTGAGAGTAAGTTCCATTGGCTTGAATCCAACTGGTACTTCCAAGTAGGGTAGATCCATTAAATCAATGGGATTTACATAAATATAGCATCATAATTCAATAATGGATTCAATGGACCCATATTAGCTGAGATTACTAATAGAATTCAGGCCATTGAACCTATTTCTAGGTAGGCATGTATAGAATTATACTGTCAAACCTGTATCTCAACTACTCATGTCTATAGAACCACAATATATATTTCATTTTAGTACAACGTAGACTGATACACTGCC